CTTGGGGCGGCCCTGGCTCCAGGCAGGAGGTGAGTGGTCCTCGCCTCAGCCCCCCGGGCAGCCCTGGGCTCAGCTGTGCCCCTCTCCCCCTCGCCTCTGCTGGGCTGGAGGGGCAGCTGGGCACGGGGGTGCTCAGGCTCTGTGGAGGTATCAGCTCTGGGCTCCCAGGTGCTGGCCAGGCAGGGTTTGCCCTGGCCGGGCTGACCCCCAGCTCGCTCTGCAGGTCGTCTGCGGTGGACGAGTCGTGCCAGTCCCTCCTGTCCCACTCGGACATCAGCTACGACCGCACTGAGGATGACGTGGTAAGGAGTGACCCGCTGCGAGTCCCAGGGTTTGGCTTCTCCCCAGCAGCCAGGGGGGGGTTTTGCCCCCCTCCCACAGTGGGGCAGCCCCTTTGCATGGCCATGGTTGGGGATGGGCTTCCATCAGAGCCAGAGCATGGATGCTGGGGATGCCCGTAGCCCCATGCAGCCCTGCCAGCCCCCTGCTTCCCTGCTGCCTTTCAGGATGTTGATATGACGGTGGTGCGGACCCTGAAGCGCAAAGCCCAGGAGAGGCAGGTATGAGGGAAATGCTGGGATGCGGCAGCCCTGGGGGCTGGTGCTGGGGTAGGGTCTGTGCCCCTGCGTGGGTGAGGATCCCCCAGGTCTGCTCTGCTCTCCTGCACCGTGGGCCCCTGCACCCGCACAGGTCAGCAGCCACACAGGGTTAGGGCACCCAGATACTTCCTCATCCCCGTGCGGGAGGCTGCAAGGAGCCTGGCAGGGGGTTTAATTTATTGGTGGCGGGCTTGGAGCGTCGTCTCTCAGCAAACCTCCTGCAATCAATAGAAACTCCATTACCTTCCACCGTGGCCCAGCTGGGCTCCTCAATAATTCATCCCCACGTGCAGGCATCCCGCACCCTGTTCCGCTCACATCTCTGCATTGCAGGACGGGGCTGACCTCCCCCAGCCCCAGGGCTGGCTCTGACTCAGGTTGGGGGCCTGGGTGCCCACAGGTCCCCACAGTTCCTGGTGTGGGGCAGGTAACACCGGGGGCAGGGTGAGACCAGGACCTTTTGTGGGGTTGAGACCACTTGGCTTGGGTGCTCTTGGGGTGGGGGGCAGAGTCGGGCAGGGGGGTCCCTGCCTGCCCTTCACCCCATCTGCTCTGTCCCCAGCGTGTGTCCCTGGCCCCTCAGATTGGCCCCGTGGTGGTGGCGAAGCGGCACCGGTCTTCTGTGGCACCCCACAACACTGTGAGTATGCCCTGGGCAGGGTGTTGCCAGAAGGCAATGCTGAAACCTTCATTCCTGTGGGTGCTGCGGCATCTGGGGGTGCTCAGCTGTCCCCTCTGGGTGCCTGTGCCCTGCAGACTGTATCACCCTGGTCCCACTGGGGACAGTATCCCAGGGCTGGGACAGGGAACAGGCAGAGCAGAGCTCATGGGGAGGCGTTGGAGCACCATGGGGCTGCAGCCAGGCACATTCTCACTGCCCCCCATCTCGGCAGGCGAGTTTTCCCCCCGTGCCCCCTCCTGACGAGGTCCCGGGCCCTGCCGGCAGCCTCCTGCCTGCTGCTTTGGTGCCACGATGCTGCTCTCGCCAGGGACACCGTGTCTCCACATGTGCAGGTCACGGGAAGGGCTGGGGAGGGGGCTCACGGGTGGTGTGGGACTAGCCTCAGGGTGCTGCTGTCTCAGGGGAGGGAGAGGGTCTGCTGGGGGATGCTTGTCCCCCCACAGGGGTACTGGGGTCCTCTGGACATGCCAAACACCACTGGTCCCAGGGCAGCTGGGATGCTGCAGGGGCTCCCTGGGAAGTGGGAAGCCTCCCTGCATCCCAGCCAGGAGTTGGGTCAGTTTGCTTTTTCAGGGCCCCCTCCACTGCCTCCTCTCTCTGCAGAGCTGACCATGGTGTGGGGCACCAGCAAGGATCCGGGCTGCCGTGCCCCGGGGCAGGAGAGCCACACGGAGGGTGGCTCTGCAGGGCAGCCAGTGCCAGCCCCCTTCCCCTCGCCTCCACGGGGCCCCCCACTGCTCCAGCACCAGTTCACCTCCAAAACGGTGCGTGTCCCAGCACAAAGAAGGGAGGAGGACAGGGGGAGTGGGTCTGGGTGGGGGGAAAAAGCGCTGCTCCATGCCCCCCCCCGCCCAGCTCTGCCTGCACAGGGGATGGTTAGAGGCGGTGGGGGCTGGTTTGGGCGGGATGAAGGAGTGGTACCCGGTACTTGCAAGAAGGGGGTCCCTGACTCCATTGCCCCTCTCCAGGTGATCCGCCCCGAGCCGTGCGGCGTCTGCGGCTCCCGCATCCGCTTTGGGGAAGCTGCC